TTTGAATTTTTTCTCATATTAATTGTAAGAGGCGACAAAAATCCCCTTACCTGAAATAAATGATTAGTTGAATGTAACAATATACCCCCTGTCAGAGGTACGCTACTAAACTAGATCATTGATTGATTGAATTAATCGGTAAATTTTGAGTTAGCATCGGTAATAGGTATTGAATCAAAGAGTTCTTGAATTTCATTGACTGATTCTGGTTTATATGGTGGAAGAATCGGAGCTCTCACTTTATTAAAACCAGTTCCACTGTATGGTTTGCGGTCAATCCAATAAATTTGTTTCCATACTTGTTGACCCTTAGGTCCTTCTCTTTTTCGTTTACTCTTAATAGCATAACCGCACCAATTACCCACTACCGCATTGATGAATTTTATTGTAGCATTGAGATCAGGTGTTCCTTTGGCCCGAGATTTAAATCCGAAGAGTAATAATGCATCTTGTCGAATTTTAATGATTTTTTCCTGCAATTCTTCGAATGCTTTTGCCACATCATCGCCTGAGAGAATGCGCTCATCATCTATGCCGGTAAAACCCAATGATTGGAAAAGGTTATGAACAGCTTCCCATTGTTTTACTGAATAATATTTATGCAAATCGTTTGAGGCCGGATCCAAAGAATCTTGTGATTCCTCCCATTGTATGGTTTCTTTGAATTTTAAATTTTCCAAAGCTTTTATCGCATTAGAACCTTGTCTTCGGAAATAGGCAAGTCTTCTAAAATGTTGTAAAGGTTCGGAATTGTTGAATATTTTTACAAAATCTATATCACAGAGTTTAACCCAATCAGCATTATCCATGCCCCAATCTCGAGAATCATTCTTACCTCCTATGTCACCTGAAGCATAAATTTTCCATAAATAATGCCGTTGTAGAATCATATTATCAGTAAAAGAACGTGTAGGAATCTGCTTAAGTAATTCAGCTTCACTGGGATCAATATCTGTGGAATTGGCTATTAATTCCGCTTCAGCAACTTCGATTTTTTTTGCAGTTCCTTTAATATCATTAGATACATTTACACGATCAGCCTTAGCCAAGTTGGAATTTTCTACTGAAACTAGATCAAGAGATGCTCCAGTACTGGCGATAAGACTGCAAAGAATTTCGGGAAAATATTTGGCTGATAAGCGTCTCTGATATTCGACCTCTATATAAGTTTCTACCGCTGGTGATGAGTCAAGAGCATAACAATCAGCAATTTTGTTCCATTCACGACATCCCTTTATAGCAACTGGTAAGTCTCCAGGTCTTAAGGCTGAAAGTTCTGCACGAATAAGGTCACGATTTGGATCTTTAAAAATTCCAGGTTTTTTATTATTATAAAGAGAAATAATGCGACATGGGCAATCACGAATTCGATAAAGCATTTGTGCAAAAGCTTCAACATGAACTCCTGTATTGATATTACTAATTGCTATTATTGCATCGAAATGATTAGGAATTTCAAAGGAGATACCAGCTTCCACAGTGCTTGTATAAATTACGCAATCAAGACCACTCCAGGTAGCATTAATATCAGCAAAATCCTCTTGACGTTGTTTTCCATCCATTTGACCAAAATAAACACGTGTCAAGATAGGTGAACCATCTGGTTTTCGTAACTTGTAGGTTTGAAGTGCCAAAGCTCGAGCCTTTTTGCATGAAGTCATAGAAAAGACAACACGCTTACCTTCTTGAAGCATCCAAAGACCTTTACACATAGCCTCTGATCCTTTGTCTGGGTCATAAAGAATTTTTACAGATTCACCTTTACGTGTCTGATACTTGTTATCAAAAATTCGTATATCTCTACCTCGATATTGTCTTAAGAAGGTTAAAGTTGATTCATTCGCAAAAGCATCCATAGCCACAACGTGAACAGCAAACTTCAACAAATCACACATAGCATTTTCTGATTCTCGGGCATGGATCCCACTGGACATTTGACGCATGATAGCGTTCGCTTCATCTAAGATAACTACATAAGAACGACCTCCATAAAGAGAAAGACGATGTGTACTTTCGACCTGGACGATGATAACATCCCAGTCGTGTATAGCTAAATCACCGCCATTTTCCTGATAATGGCATACGCGAAGTCCTGAATTTTGTAATATTTCAACTTTAGCTTTAGTCTCATTGCTAAGAGTTTTACGATATGAAATCCAGTTAAAGCAAGGTAAATTCGCTTCGCTTTTGGCTAAAGAATTAAGAATCTCTCTTAAAGTTTTTGTTTTCCCTGTAGCAACGGGTGAACGAATTAAGGTTGTAGTGGGTTCCTCACTCGAGAAATCCAGATAAGCTTCTGGTGCATCTTCCATCTTTTAACATTAATATCTTTCCCGGATAAATCTACAAGTGGACGTGGATGCTTTATGATATTGACTATTCTTTCACTTAACCCCCATTTAGGTCTTGGTAGATTATTAGTTACTTCGCCAAATACTAATCCCTTGTGAGCTGGTTTATATTGTTTTTGCCGAAAACATTTGAGTATAAAACGCCCGTCTTTTAGAAGAAACCTGTGTAATTGATTTTTTTCATGTATAACTTCGCAAATAGGACATTCTTTAGATGATTGCGCTTGAAAGTTAATTAACCCTTTTCCATTTTTCCCGATTTCAAGCCAACCATATTTTGCAATAACCAAATTAGCACCTTTTCTCAGGGTATCTTCATCTTCGATAGGC